TTAGTAGCATCATTGTTTAAATGAATCCCCACTTACATCAGAAACCTTTGTATTCAGCTCTCTCCACGGTTGAAGCACAATGCCTGATTATTTCTTTGCGCTTAGTCTGTAAGAAAATTGGCACCACAACCAACTCACTGCGCAAACACTGTATGCCTGGCAAAGGATGAGCTTAACCTGTCAGCTTCTAATGCCTAGTTTGATTTTAAAGTGCAGCAGTAAAGTGAAATACACTCAATGAAAATCTGTCAGGAGGACGCCTGCTTACAGGATGCATGTGGAAGCTGTGATTCTCTCCCCTCTACGCTGTCATTTAGTCATGTACGACTGTTGATAGTGAATGGCTGGAAATGTAGCATCAGCACATAGGCATGTATAGCTTCTCCTTTACTTAATACACAGTGTTATATTTCTTTAACCTTGAATCCTGCTATAATTTCACTTTTAAAGGGCCAGTTCCTCCAAATCCAAAAACAAAACTTTCCCTCAGGGGTATCTAGCCATGATGAAGATGAGTTTTGGGGCACCTGCTGCCGCCCTGTTTCATTGGTGTGATCTACTTTTTTCTAGTACTCAAAACTTAAAAAAGACATTTTAGAAACTCAAAAGCAGTACCTTTCCAAATATGATGTTCTTGTGATCTTGCATTCATGACAGACTTTGTTGTCAACAGTTTTCATCAGAAACTTCTCTGCTGAATAAAAAAAGTAGCGACAGCTGTCACCAGTGAGGCATGTGAATTATCTGATGATAAACAAGGGCATTGTATCTGGAAAGTGATGATGCTTGTGAGTTTTTTCAAATGTAATGTTTCAGTGCTTCAAGCAACATAAATGAAATTTCATCGCACTTTATTGAATCAGGGTGATGGCAGGAGAAATCCCTCGGCAATCACTGTATGCATGGTCATATACTGCCAGGGGTTAACTGGTTATTTTGTTTTTTGTGATTTGGGTGAACAGACCCTTTAATTGTTGACTTAACATGTGTACTGGAAGCTGTATTAGAAATTCTCACCAAACCTGCATGGCATCTTCTCTCAGGTAACCTTAGCTGCACTGTGAAGCACTGTGTGTAGTTGTGTCTTTCAGAAGTGGGTATGATACATTTACTGTGTGTGTTTATCAGTATTTATTTGTTTGTTATGAAATAAAAACTTAAATGTACTCTTACAACTGAAGCACTTACAGTTAATGGTTTGTTGTAGTACATTATTAAAAGTGTAATTTAAATAAATCTGGCACATTACTGTGATCACTACATTGTAGGTGTCCAGCAAAAATATTTTATTTAGAATAACAGCTGAAATTGATTTATATCATATTACCAAAAGGACTGAAAAAAAAAATCTGTGCTTGGATTGGAGGTTAAACAGCTTGCAAAGCTGAGTATGCTGGTTACCTACTATGTATGAAATCACACTCTCTTTTATTCTGCACAGTGTGTGAGTGAGCTGTGACTGATCTATCCTCTTTTCTTTGATGCCCTCAGGTGGACAAACTGGAGGAGGCAGACAGCAAAAGGAAAACTGAAGAGGAGGTGACAGAGCCTCAGCCGATAGTGTTTGGTAGGTTCACATGCGGCACGTCACGGTTTTGGTTCCTAAATAGGAGAAAATTGCCTCGCGCTGTGAAAACAGCAGGATTTAAACAGCGGCATTTATCTGTCTGCGCCAAACTGAAACTTGGATAAAAAAAGTCTGCCGGTGTTGACATTTAACATCAATCAAATGTGTACAAATTGGATGTAATGAGCAGTTTACTGAGACTTGAAGCACACAGCCAAGTCTGTCTCCTCATTGTAGTCAAATTTAGGAAAATTGGGCACATTCAGTTAATGGAAAACTAATCATGCTGCTGTTGTCTTCTCCAGACCAAATCAGACGGACAAAGAAAATGTGTCATTTACAGTTACAGTCTTGTATCAGTCTTTAGAAACAAAACAACATGATTTAAATTTTTGCTTTCAGTTTACATGAATATCCATTTTTACATTTTACAATATTACTAAGAATCACTGTTGCCTTCCCATCAAGTTTTCCCATAATGAACAAAGACACCTGATTGTGATATAACCAACAGCAACAGTGTTATCTAGTAAGGGCTTTAATGCTATGGTAATTATCTTCATGAATACAGTACAATATTTACTGTATTCAATATTTAGGACATCTGCAAAAGTCAGGAAACACCTCTGGTGCCCACAAAGAGATTTGTTTGACATCAGCATTGACAGCATTAAAAGAATAGGCCAACTTCACCCTGAAAATTCTAAATTGTGCTGTATATCAATTACTCACCCCATGTTACGTTGAGTTTGTGAACAAAGATTTGTTTCTGCCTCATGCCTCTATGGTGAACGAAAAATCCAAAAATGGGGAACACTTTTGATGGGGGCTTGATTTAACAAACTAACAAACTGTATCAAAACAGTACTTCCCAAACACATGTATTTTTGCAAAAACATTACGATGTAAATCACTAAATTAAGGCAGAGTTTAATTAACACGTGCTTGCCTGTGGGCACCACCTATATGCTGAAGTGTTTTATTGGTAATGCATGTTTGGGAAGTCCTATAGATCATACGACTGGATAAATGAGACTTGGATCATACTGCACAAGTTGTGTGGGAGTTTGTTAATGGATTTTGACATGGCTTTTTAAGCACCACATAAAGAAACTTTCATTTACGGAGAAGACAAAGATGAAAAAGACATAAGTTTGGTTAAAAAAAAAAGTTGTACAGATGGTCGTTGTGAAGGGTGGTGAACAAACAGAGTGTAGCAATGTGCACTCACTTGTGAAAAATGTTTAAATTGTATCTATGAGCTTGTAACCCTGTGTGTGTTTGTGTGATCAGGCCAGCAGCTGATGTTACCCCCCTCTCCTGCTCCAGTGGCTCCACAGCAAGCGTACCCAGGCTACGGCTACCCCACCGCTCCTGCGGGCTTCCCTGCTGCGCCTGCTTATGGCTTCAACATGTAGAGGCCTGATACCCCCCCTTCCCCCACCCCCACCCCTGCACACACTCACACACCTTGGACCTGAACCACACTGAAGCGTGCTGCTCTGGGTCTCAACTGGCAGGCGGAGATCCCTGAAACTTTACTGGGCATTCATTCCCAATGAGACTCCACTGAAACTGCAATAGAAACCTATCATCTCTACTTTCTCAACACACATTTCAGAAGGACTGGCTCATGCAAGGTTGTTGGACCCTCTCCCACCCCCAACCCCCTCTTTCTCTTTATCATTTGGAAACTGCATCACTGATCTACACAGCATGAAGTCACCTCTCAGCTCCTAGAGGAATTAACATACCGAAGATAACATTAGTGACACCAAACCACTCTGTCCTGTTGCTGTTCCATGTAGACTTTATTAACCATAGAGCAGCTTTTTTTTGTTTTTCCTAGAGATTCAGCACTGATGAGGAAGAGACTTTGTTACTGAGGAGTGTAGGGGGCACACGTGTGTCTCTCCTCTACCTCCTAAAGCACTGCTACGGCCTTATACTTTGAAAAGGTGGCAAAAAAAACGGGCTCATTTATTCATGTTTAATTTCACAACTGTCTCATGCTCTGATTAGACAGACGGTTACTGTGCAATAGTTTTGTTTGTCCTCTCACAACAGGTACAAAGTGTTTGCTGTATACGGACTAAGAACACTTGTTTATGAGGTTACGGTACTGTCTGTGTATGTGTGTCTGTATGTGTGTGTGAGTGAGTGTGTAGCCTCTAAAGCCTTGGAGGGATACGTCACCAAACTAAGAGACACTCAATGAAATTTCCACCTCCTTGCAGCCGCAAACCTGTCACTGGGTCGATCTCGTCAGTTGACTTTTTGGACTCCGAACATGTTCAGGATGCTTGTGACAAAAAGACAAAAGAAAAGAAGGTGAAATGATAAAAAAAAAAATGCTATATGCTGTAGTCTGTGCATGTGCTGCCAAACTATAATGCTGCAACCAGGAGCACAATTTTCATGTTACACTCAAATATATCAAGTATTACTAATGTGTGTCAAAAACTGAAGTGATGTTCGATGAAACTTTCTCACCCGACTAACAAAAAAAACAACGATGAAGCTCTGTAAGACACAAACAAAAGGGGGGAACATTAGCTCACATCCCGGTGCCAGCTGGTTCAAAAGAATAATCATTATTGTACTGAAAACAGTGTATAATTTAAGATATATTGAAATACCTAACTAATCAAAGAAGTCAAATATTATGGAATACCGTATGTATTGTCTATAGTGTGTTGTTGTAGTCTTAAAAAGCATAATAATTTTTGTAAGAAAAGGACAAAATGCAAAAACAGCAGGTTGAATAAAAGGCAAAGTCTTGAGGCAAGGCTGCTCAAAGAGGTGGCAGTTAAGTTGTTTACTTCCAGCTGTCCGACAGTCCCCTGTATGATACACCGAGCTCTGGTGTCAACTTTGGATCTGTCAAAGCGGAAAGCCTGGGCTGCACACGAAGCACTCCCTTTATCTGCACAAGTCATGCATACAGAAAGAGGAATAAAGTTTACACACAGTTGTTGTTGCTGCATTTTTCTACTACATTCACACCAAGACAAATATTTACCACCTCTCTGGAGGGTTCAGCCTGTATTGTTTGTGTGTTTAAGGAGGTGGGTGTGGAGTTTTACAGCTGTGAATATGGTTTATTCTAAGTGTATTTTCAGCTACACTCTTATTTCCATTCTCTGCTGGACTGACATTTTGGTATCCAAGCTGCCAAGACCTGATTGATGGTTTCTGTGTCTGTGAGGGCTGCAGCCTTTGTTTGGAGAGGGTGTGGCAGGGCTGTTAGGACCTTCTACTGCCTGCTGTTGGAAAACACGCGGAAGGTTTTGGTAGCAGAAGATTTAATAACAAGGGAATGCGATTTGATTCCTCTTGGCTGAGCTGTATTCAGAGAGGCTGCGCCCCGCCCTTCTGCTGATGTGGAACAAAAAGTGGTCACTCTCCTCTCACCCTGCGCTCACACAAGCACCTACTGTGTCACCCACTGACCCTTGTATCACACAACAGGCTCGGTGGTTGCTTAAAAACACCCGCGTCACGGAGATACCACCAAGTTCCACGCGGCAGCAGCAGGACACGGAGACAACTCTCTGTCCACCCCGCCTTGCTTCCGGTTTGCTTTTGCTCTCTTACGCACTACTGTCGTGATACCGCGTTACCATGGTGACAAATAACAGATATTGGTTATAGAAGATGCCAACTTCCTTGACAGTCCCCTGTACCCGCCCACTGTCAACAGAGAGATCCGCCGGAGCGTCCGGACGCGTCTGAGATCACCTGCCTCCAGGAAAAGCGCACCAGACAGCGGCCCGTCCATGTGTTGCGCGCTCCAGTCCACTTGAAATTGCAAGCTAACTACTTGAAGTTAAACCTCAGAAGAGCAGACGCTTTTACATTGTAGTGTTTTTAAGGTAATTATGCAGGACAGAAGGACATTTATCAGCCCTTTCCCCAGACCGCGGTGTCTGGCCGCTGCGGCGCCTATGGGGAAAGCGAAATTAACTCACCCGGGAAAGGCGATCCTGGCAGGTAAGTTCATCATGATTTTATCACGCAGAAAAGTCAGAGTTGGGCAAAATTTCACTTCTTACAATGACGTCAGTAAAATGAAACAGTTTCCAGATACTTGTGTGATCTTGTTTCTGGTGCGCAGCGGAGTGAAGTAGTTGTAATACTGTAATAAAAACTGGACACTATAAAGGCAAAAACCAAACCAGTAATACAGCTTGGAGTCAATGAGAAGTTAATGTAGCGGTATCCTGAGATTAAAGAAAGTAAAGTAAGGTCACAGCAACTTGCATATTATAGGGATTATTGCAGACAATTTCTCTGGGCTGTGTTGTTGTTTGCAGACACAGTGAAAGCCATCATTTTAATCTGTATGCATTTGGCTCGTGTTTGTTTTCTTGCATGGTTCACAAACAAGGCGTTTCTCTTGCATGACACGTTTCACTTACGGCCGCATGTCAGGGCCAATCTACCTGTTTGTGAAAACAAGCTAAAAACTGGCAAAACAAGGTTTTCAAAACAGAGTTACTGCATTTTCCACTGAGACTTGCCCTGAAACCATGCTGACCCTGCTGTAAAAGATAATTGGTCTTAAGTGCTCAGTGCCTAAAAAGAAAGGCCTAAAAAGAAAGCAGCAGTTTTCTTCTTCTGTCCTGTCAGGTTTTACCTGCTGGACCGATGTGATTTTATCCATCTAATCTAGATCAGGATCACCTTTAGTGCCCTTTACATAATGCTGTTAGAGTGGATTGATGCATGCAGCAGTGTGGGGGACACTCTCTCCTGAGACAACACTCACACAGTGTCAGGTATGGGGGTTAGGTCTGAGAAAATAGCATTAATGCTGAGCTTTTCTGGTTGATCACACCACGTAAATTTTGCTGATTGTCATGGAATTGCAGATTTTAATGTTATTACTTTGGCAAATTCCATCTGTGGACGACAATCACGTAATATGGCTGCAAAGCCCTGAACAGCAACCAAATTGACTTTAAAGTGAGATTGTTCTCAAACTTACATGTTGTTCTGTCAGTATATGGTCCTGCTCTCTGTAACAGTACAACATATTTATCCACTTGTCATCTTAATGCTTTATTCTGTTGCTGTGACTACAATTTTGTAAACTATTGATCAATCTGTTGATTAGACTTGGAATTATGGGTTAACCATGTAGTCAATAAAATGTCAAAAATATTTATATTCGCCCACCATTTGTAACCAGAGCCAAAAAACCCTACAAAATTATTTACTATATATTGATGTGAAACAGAGGAATAATCTCAGATGCGTTCAGACACTCCATCTTTGCTCTGAAGTTCCAACCAGCAAAGATTTATTGCATTTAATTTAGCAGATTGATTAATTGATTTATTGATTCTTCATTCGTGCTTTTTTTGGCCGTCCCTGTGATTCATCAGTTTATCCCCGGTGAGTTTCTCCTCTCCTGCTGCTCTGCTCCCCCTCCTCAGCCTCTTCCTGTGTTGCTGATCAGAGTGCAGCAGCTCCAGTTGATGAAGAGCCTCTCAGAGATGCTCCTGTATTAAGGCCACATGCTGCTATTTGGCAGCACTCTGTTGATTTCAGACTTGTTCTCTGGCACCAGTTGAACCCTGAATGTTTTAATGTTTTGAATGAATTCCTTTTGATTGGAGATGAGAAACAAACTGTTTCAGGGTTGCAACTTATAATTATTTTAGTTATTGTGCCAGTTATTTTTTCTGATCAATCAATCGACCAATCATTTTGGATGTAAAATATCAGAGAATGTTAAAAATGTGGATTGTAAGTTCCATGGGGCCAAGGTGACATCTTCAAATTGTATGTTTTACAGGGCCAACAGTTCAAAACCCACAAATATATAGTTTACGTCATATGTAAGACGCACCAAATTCTCCCCTTTGAGAGACTGAAAGCATTTTATATTTCTTCTAAAATGATGACTAAGAGTGTCCTGAATACTATCTAAAAGGCTTGAAGCTTTAGTGAAAATTACCTGGAAATATTTAAAGCTTCAACAGGATGTAACAGGGGGTTATAGTAATCAGTCACATGCACCTGAGCCGACTTTATTAGGACATAGCACCACTGCTTGTGTAGGAGAGTGTGATAGAGAGATGGAGAAGAAGGTGGAAGGTGGACTATTGCAAACAATGTTTCTATAAGTTATAAATAACTCGGAGCACCGCAGGTCAAGCCTCACCAATAGATGCACAGCAAGCATTTTCTACAGTTGAAAGCCATGGATAACTGTCCACAATTCGTCTCTCCTGTTCCTTTTCCTCCTCAGACTGCCAATTTATTACTTGAAGCAAGGGTCGATTACAGCGTTGAGAGCACTGGCCTCATTCATCTCTGACACTTGTCACCTCCTTTCAGTTTCCGACATGATTTTAGCGGTGAAAAAGCAAAACAAAAATCAAAGCATTCGAATACTGACATGGAAGTCGATTACCATATAACAGCTGAGGCTTTGAAGCATTCAGATTAACCCTTATAATAACTCCATTATCAGGTAATTGTTTCAACTGTGAACTGTTTGCACACATGGTTAGTGAAGCCATCAGAGTGTTTACAGTTACATGTACATGCTGTGGTGTCAGCTGCTGTGAATGACACATTTATACACATAAAAACATTTAAATGCCTCTCTTTAGTTCGGATTTATATTTATGTATACAGGGTGTGGAGTACAAGCAACATACACCATACAAAAATGACACAACAGTAGCACTCATTAGGAATAAAGTGCAACATAAATTTAAAATATGTGATACATTTAACATGACAGACCCTCTGAAGTATTATCCAAGCCTTTATATGTACCTGTGTGCATGGATGTTGATGTTTCTAATCCTGAAGTCACCTGCTGTGTGTTGTTTATGTTTTCATATGTTTGGAACTTGTCCTGTTTGAATTTAACATAAAGATCTGTAGGAACTACTCTATTCATATAATATTCTCACATTTAAATCCTCATTGTAGAGTTAATTATTTTGTGGTATGTGATGATGAGGAAAAAATCTCCACTCCTGACACGTCATGCTGTCAGCTACTGAGAAATAGAAATGTGGCTGTGGTGAGACCTCTCCCCTCCCCCATCAGTCCCGTGCAGCCTGATTGACTGGATATGGCCCAGTGTTGCTCCCTGTGTCGTTTAGTTCGTCTCAAGCCTGTCTGTCCAGTTTTGCAACAGCAGCATGATTGTATCCTCTCTCTGTCTCAGCTCTGTGCACCCTCTGATTCCTCCCAGCCTCGCCGGCAAGAAACCATTGATTCATTTCTGCCTTTGAAAGGATTTGGAAATGAAAGTGTGAGTGTAGTTTAATGAAAGTACACATGCAGAGCATCACTGGGATGACTCAGCGACAGATAAACTGTCCGTTTGAGTCTGACCCGAGATGTCGTTCATCAAAAACTACAGCTGATAGTTTACATCGTCAGGATACATATTCTTCTCACTCAACCGTGGAAGTTCATAAATCCAATTGACACCTCTCGCAGTGTTCTGACATGCTAATGCTACTTTAGATTTATCTGTTATGGTTAGCAGAATGTGTCTGTACGGAGGGAGCAAGCCACATTTGCACGCCCGAAGGCTCTGAGTAGACAAAGCAAGAAGTAGAAGGTCAAAGCTTAATGGATTAGAGAGCCCACATAGACAGTGGTTGAGGAGGAGGGGTGCTCATTTCCAAAGCTTTTAGAGATCTGTGAGCTCTTTCTGCTCCCATTGGCTAGTTCAAGTCTTCCTTCAGCAGCCACTGGTGATGACTGAAGTTGAGACACGGAAGGAGGGAGAGTTTTATCAGTGTGCGGCCTGAGGGAAAGAGAGAGAGCAGTCTAAATGGGTCTCTGGTCCTGATTTGCTGGCTGCTGCATTCATACACTGTTGTGGCTTTCATTTATAATCCTTCTGAACGGAGCGTGGGAAGCAGAGGGATGGACAGAGAGAGAAAGTGTTTTTTTTTTTTTGTATTTTGATTTGATCATAGATTGTATTTTCCACTGAGACAGGCCTGTTTTTATGTCACTTTTCCTGCTCTCTTTTCCTTCTTTTCCTCTCCTACATCTCTCTGTCTGACCTCAGGGCAGCCAGTTAGGTTTTCTGAGTGGCTGTCTCCTCTCAGGCTGAGAGGGCTCGTCAAACTGTGCGCTTACTCCCTGTCTCCTCACGTCACAGGTGACGCACGCAGTCACCTCCCCTCTGCCGTGCTGCTCCTCGCAGACCCCGAGTACCGGGAGGCGAGATTATAAATTACAGTGCACCTCTCTGTTCACCTCCCAACCCCCTCCTGCTGTAACAGCCTGTCAGATGAATGCTGGTGTAATGCAGCCGTGGACACACAAACAAACGAACAGAAATTTAAAGTATATAGGAGGCCCGTATGACTTTAAGCTTAATGTTACATTTTCAGTCTTTCTTCTTTGCATTTGTGAATGCTTTGGAGATTGATTGCATCTCCACTCTGGTGGTTTTGCATGTTTTATCTCATTAAATACAAATCACCATTTTCTGAACAGAACAGAAGTTTATACATTGATTTTCTCTTTTTCAGTCAGTGGCTGGTTTTAATTAATTTCCACTGCTGTGTAGTAATGAACTTTCACAGCCTCAAAACTTGTTTGAGAAAATCGATCAAATTAAACATGTAGCTGCTATAAATTTTTGCCAAAGTTATATAATCATGGCAGGGTAATTACTCTTAAAGTAATTACTTTGTTGGGTGAAACACTGACGTCTTAGACTTCAAAGATGGTTGTTCAACAACAATCTGTTAAAGCTTTGAAAACCAGTTTTCTCAATCTGCTTTTTACTGAGCGATGGGAGTGATGATAGAAATATCTTTAACTGCTGAACGATCCATCAGATCATCTCCATGTTGCATCTGTCTGCTGTTTGGTGCTGGGAAGGTAGTGCATAGAGGGTTTTAGAGCTTTTTCATTGGAAACATTGCCTGCCTGCATCTGGAAACCATGCTGAACTGAAAGGTGAGACTGAACCAAAACATTAAAGATCCGGGTCA